GTTTCTTCTTACTTACCTCGCCGAGCGTCGCGTCACTGCTGCTCCGGTGGGCGGCGCTCCGAGCGGGGTCATCTGGCAGTCTCCGGGTCCTAATTTAGGTGGCCGGAGACTGCCAGATGACCCCGCTCGGAGCGCCGCCCACCGGAGCAGCAGTGACGCGACGCTCAGCGAGGTAAGTAAGAAGAAAAAAAAAAACCCCCGCAGCGGCCAGTCAGGCAGGGGAGCAGGGATGAGTCAGCGGCGCGCTGGTCAGGCGAGAGGAGCTCCAGGTGGGGTTGTAATTTAGCGGGCAGGCACCTCTAAGTCAGCTAAATTAGGACCCCACCTGGAGCTCCTCCCACTGGACCAGCGCGCCGCTGACTCGTCCCTGCTCTCTCCGTGATGTGATGATCGATCACCGGCACACGGACACAGTGAGTGAGGGCAGATGGGGGGGGGAGAGAGATTTATTAAGCAATTATATATGTATTGTCTGCACTGTATTAGCAGTATATACTACATATAGAGTATATACTGCTAATACAGTGCAGACAATACATTTACAATTATACTAACATGAATGGATTAAATGATCTGTATGTAGCCCTGTACTATGGATCATTTAACCCATTCATGTTAGCAGAGGATCATTGTAAATGTATTGTTGCAGGCACTCTATATGTACATGTACTATATACTTCATATAGAATGCACTGAACAATAGATTTACAATTATCCTCTGCTAATATGAATGGGTTAAATGATCCGTAGTACATGATATGTAGCCCTGTACCCCCTTTTCCACTTACAGAGCTAGGTTATTTTTCTTTTAAATAAATATTCATGTAATTTTATTGGTATCTATGTACCAGTAGCTGCCTCATTTCCCACCCTCGGCTTATATTCGAGTCAATACTTTTTCCCAGTTTTTTGTGGTAAAATTAGGTACCTCGGCTTATATTCGGGACGGCTTATACTTGAGTATATACGGTATCTACATATGTAAACATAAATGTAGTTATCACATAGGAAGCTATGAATTAATACATTTATTTTTTAACAATGATTCAACATCCAATGCTCCCCCTTTTATTGGCTTTAATGTTACCATACTTGTAAGCAAGTATAAACTAAGAGTAAGCTGCATTAACACAATTCCCTGTGCAAAAATATAGCTTGAAGAAACTGAAAAGTACACACAGAATGCTTAAAACAGGAGATATTGTATTCAAAATAATAATAGTAGTTGCCTGCATTACTTCTATAAACTACTGTATAAAACATACTTCTAAATTAAAGACTTATATATATAAATTGGCTAATATAAACGTATAGCTTCCCGATGTCTTCAAAGAACAGTACAAACTGAACTTCGAAAAGCCATAATGAGTGTACCGATTTGAGAACATTTATGCTCAAAAACACTCTAAGGCTCGAATCAGTCAATAACGAAAATGAAAAACCCTGAATCCACAGGGGAAGCATAGTGAAACCAGTGTCAGGGTCTTTAGTCCAAAAAATAGATCTACAAGGAAGCTACCAAAGTCAATCCCACTCAGGAGTCAGATAACACTAAAAACAAAAAGACAGGAAAGCCTCAGCAACAGTAGGATGTGCCTCCAATAGTCAGAAAAGATGTTGCTCACCTTAGAAAATAGCCAGGAGAACACATATGTGTAACCACGGCAAAAAGATTTAGTGCAGGGTCTGTAATCGCAGGACGATTCATCTTTGTGATTGTCTCTCGTCCAAGAATCCTTTACAAAGTGTACTGCTGAAACAGTGCATTGTTTCATAATGTAACTGTATACATTTAAAGGCAACTAACCCACAAAGCCATGGCTTACCATCTTTAGTGGCCATGTGTAATAAACATCATGCTAACAGCACTTAACTCAATGATTTTTAAAAGGATGACATTGTAGAAAGGTGATTCCACCTTTCCATGAGAATAATAGATAAAAAGATTCCAAGTTTAATAAAATACCTTGACGTGTTTTAGAGTGAACATTCTGAAGAGGGAGCGATGGTTGCTCTGAAACATGTCCTGGGACATGTTTCAGGGTGACGATCATGGCAGATCAGAGGCTTGTATTCCCATGTTGTGGTGGATAAGAGGACTTGTATTCCCATGTCTTAGATCAAGTTAACAGGCCCTGCAGGGGGATTCCCTGTCAGGATCCAGTGGCACCATCAGTGGATAGATCTGCTCATCCTGCTGTTTTCTGGTGTTCCTACACCAATATGGGCTGGCTTTCTACCCATTCCAGTCTATTTTGTTGGGGAGTACTCCTTGCACCCTTTTTTCCCCTTTGTTGTCCATACCCTTGTAGGGAATACCTTCCAAGAATATCGTCCTACTAAGAAAGAGTGCAGAAACCCAGAAAGGCCCAAGTAAAGGCACAGTGTAGTAATACTTGTAAGATGCTGCAGGGCAGCTGACATCTTCTGCCTTCTCCAAGTAATTAGCATATGAACTAAAAGGATTATTATGAGTATCCAAAGCCAAGAAAGCAGGACACCCAGGAATACATCTGGATGTTCAAACAGTCCCCCCATGTGTAATACTGAAAGGGAAAGCTGCTGAAAACTTGCCAGATGCCTCAGCAGATCTCCAGCTTCTAAAGCTACAGTACTCACTGTTAAGGCAGAAGGGATAGAGGTACAAGCTTCTCAGACTTTTCTGCAGATCTTCTGCACTTTCGTTAGAGATACTGTGGTATCAGTGAGTCAAGATCCAGTCAAAAACAGCCTTTCTTGAAAGAAAGACGAATCAGTAGTTCCTTGGATTTCGCATCAGCACCCTACACCTGTAGCCAGTGCCCAATGAAGCATCATAGAAAAATATCTATGGTATACCAAGTATCTTGATTAAAGAAGGGCTTATATGGGGGTGGCCTTCAATGTTATTTTCTGTTTGCCAGTGTCCAATCCTCTTGTAGGTGGCAGCATAAAAGCAGAATGTTTCAGAATTCCTGGGTCCCTCAATGGATGATAAAGCAATTCAGCAACACAAAAACTCCACAGGACACTCTCCAGCTAGTAAGCACAAAAAGCCTATTTAAAATAGTTTTAACCTCAAATATTGAAGCAGCTTAAACCCTTCATGACTGAGCTTGTTTTTAGTTTCTGTTCGTAAATGACTGACACACTTTTGACATTTTTGCTGTGATTCTTCCACGTCAGTAATATACTTTCTTACAAAGTGCACCCACACATATTATATATTGTTTTTTAGAGGACAGATAGGGCTACATATTTATATCACATATGTGTGTCTAACGCCTCACTTAGGACAAATAAAATTTTAAAAAAAGAGGAAAAAATGTAAAAAAACCCCACCTTTTCCCCAGTTTTGATTTGTAGTATTTTTTACAAAAGCAGCACAGCAAAAAAAAAATGCAATAAATACATTCATTTATTTGTCCTTTATTTTTTATTTCTTTACACTTTTTTTTTCTTTACACTTTTCACTATATGTTGTTGACATGCTGAAGAGACTGCCATTTTTGCTTTGACAAATACTGTATATTTTTCTACCTGCCAATCATGTTTAAACAAAATGCCGTCAGTCAAATGGTGACTGCAAGGTTGGGGGCGTGGCTAGCCACAGGCTGTGTGTGTCTATAGATGCACACAGCTAGGTGCAGGCACGGCCGGGAGCCTGCATGCACAGGTGCCTCTACAGCAGCCGGCTAGCTGATGGAGGAACCCATACGGTGGGGGGTAAGGGGCTAGTGGTTGGGATACCACTAGAGAACAAGCTAACAAAAAATTTCAAGAATAAAAGAAAGTCTTTAACAGTAAGTCTGGCCCCCATAAACATGAAAGTTAAAAAAACCCTGAAGGTTTAGGGGGTTATTCACTTATCCAGCTACGGCTGGATGCTTCGGCTCTATAGTGAATAACTCTATTGATGAATGTGTCCACTCAGTTCATTTTGAATCAGAAGATGTTAATATGCAAACTATATAACCAGGGGCACACACACAAATTTACATCATATGACATCACATTGAATAGAAAAACTTTCTTGGCATGAATCAGGCATGAACCCTCATGCAATGTTGAGTCATTTTTCTTTTAACACACGGTTTTGAAAAATCAGGGCTATAGAGTCTAAGAGGTCCAGGGAATATTAACATTTTTTTAAAACAAATTTTAAAAAATCTGTGCATGTGAAAGGTTAGTAAATATACGTACTATATCCCTGGCTTCTGCTCACAGTGCCTAGATGTGGTTGACATCAAAATGCTTCTGGTATGATCCCTGGGAATGCTGAGTAGTCCAGATCTTGTGAGAAGATGCTCCTGCACTGTGCTGGAGTATCTTCTCGCACGATTTGGGATACTCAGTAGTCCTTAGGATCTTAGTGGAAGGATTGTGACATCTGCAGTGAGGAAACCAGGGGTAAGGTAAGCTTATTTACCAACTTGTTTTCCCCCACAGAAGTTCGTTAGTGCAAAGTCTATTTAATGTGTATTTTGATAAATAGAAAAATGTTCTGGTATATAGGAATAATTGATCAGATGAAGAATCCCATCAGATTTAACCAAATCAGTATTTTTGTTGTGTTCAACAATCGTTATCTAGCAAAAGATTATTTAAATATTGAATCTATAGCAAATAATGTTACATGAATGGCCAGCATAAGGCATTTACATTTACTTATCTTCTTTTGAGGCATGTGATCCTGAACATAAAAACAACTGGATGAATCTTTCTTCTAGCCTGACATATCCAAATGGTTCAATTTCTTTGTAAAAGTCCTGACTGTAATATAAGTGTCAGAATTGATATCTCTAAAAATGTACATCAGAAATACATTTTAGTTATACTATTGTGAGCCCAAATGGACTTTACATGAATATTTCAACCAACTGCTCAGAATTTATGCTGATTGTAAGCACTCATATACACATTCAGCTGTGTTCTAGACTGAACCAAAGTTTTTTTGATTAAACAAAGCGGGATATCTTTCACATTTGGTGGCTCCTTCTTTGAATGCAGTCAGTACATACCCCCTTTCATCATCCCCACTTCATAGCATTTGCGGAGTCGGCAGGCTTGACAGCTCTTTCTCCTGTTTTTGTCGATGGTGCACTGATTGGTTGCGGGACACATGTAGTCATTATGGCCTGTAAAGAAAATAAGGGTCTTTGTGAAAATCTGCTGGGAGACAATTTAAGTGTATTAATAACCCTGATAACCTTTTGTCCTGCAGAGGGTTTGAAAGTGAAAGCTTTTTTCTAAACTTCACTTGAACATATAAAAATGAAACAGCCAGTGGCAATTAAGCCTTGACAGAAAAAAGGTTAACATTTTTGTACTGACAACTATAAACCAAAATAAAATTCCTTTTTTTGTGAGAATACAAATATTAAACCATATGACTTGTAAAGACAAAGAGGATTTTTGATAGAGAAAAGTTTGATAGCAGATGTTTTTCTAAGCATTTACTTCACACAAATATATTTTCTTTTTTCAGATTCACATGCGGGTAAGCATTGTAACAAGAAGAAAAAGCAATGAAATGAAACATTAGATATTCTGTATATATATATTCTATTTCGCTTGTATCCGGAGTTTACTTCCTTGCTCAATTGATTTTATTCCGTATTCCATGTACTGTAATCCTCCTACAAAATGTGGTATTTAGGTGTACTTCACAAAGCAAAATTGCTGTCTGTCCCAAGTCCGGGTCCTACCGCCTAGGACTGAAATTGGGCACTCCTGCTCTATTATAGCTTTTATATGAAATGTACAGTGGTTTTATATATAATTTCTTCATGCTGTAAAGGAGTTCTAAAGTCCTAGCATATACTATCCTGTTATAACATCAACAATGTACCGTATTTGCCGGCGTATAAGACGATCCCCCACTTTTTGTGTTAAAATATAGGTTTTGGGCTATACTCGTCGTATAAGATGAGTATAGCCCAAAATAATGTTTAAATGCACCCACTAACCTCCATGGCAGTATTCCCGAGTGTGGCTCAGGTTTAATTTTCAGTACCATAAGCGGTAACCCCGAGCCACACTCGGGATTACAGTCTCTTACCTTGCCTATGATCCCCGCAGTGTCCTCCATATTCAGGGTTCGGTCCTTCAGCTACATGCAGTATACCGTGCTGAGCCAATCACAGCAGGCTTTGTATTCATTAATACAGGCTTTGTATTAATGAATACAAAGCCTGCCATGATTGGCTCAGCGCGGTATACTGTATGTAGCCGAAGCTACATACAGTATACCCGGCGTATAAGACGACCCCCGATTTTCGGGCGATGTTTTTGGGTCTAAAAACACGTCTTATACGCCGGCAAATACGGTAATAGGAATACATTCTAGAGTTGTTTTTGATAATATAATCAAGGCTTACATGAAAACATTGTGCTGCCTTCTGTCTTTCCATCATTTTCAACAACTTCCTGGATTCCCAGTGTGCTTTGCATCTCTTTCCCTGATGCTTGATGTGATGCTATCGTGGATTACTCGAGACTACATATTACATCATGCATTGCTTCCAGCAAGCAATGACAATGTTACAATGTTACTTTTATCAATAATGGTAATTACCATTGCCACACACATGTGATGTATACTTACAAGGACAGATGCTTTATACCAGGGGTGGCCAAACTCCGGCCCTCCAGCTGTGGTAGAACTACAAATCCCATGAGGCATTGCAAGATTCTCACAGCCACAGACATGACTCCTGGAGAGAGATGGATCATGGGATTTGTAGTTTCACCACAGCTGGAGGACCAGAGTTTGGCCACCCCTGCTTTATACCAATCAGTAGTGTGTAAGGAGAAACAACCTACTTGTTTCTTGCTGATGTCTTCATACATACACACATTGGTTGGATCATGACTATTATTTTATACTTATAGCCATTTTTAATACACATAACTTACATGTGAAACTAAATAATAGAATTGTACATAACAGCAAAATAATCAATGTAAAGTATTTAATGGAAAAAAAAACAAACAAACTAGGAAATGCAATAAAGTATAAACAAAGACATTTGTTTCCGGCAGCACCAAAGTAGCTTTTCAGCGATGGTTTTGCCCTTGCAACTTGTTTCCATGTAGATATATTTCCAGAGAATAACTGAATAATTAGGAAAATAAAACAGGGTAAAACCTATTTGACAATATTTAACAATATTTTACATGCAATGTTCCCAGTACTGCAATCAATAGTGTTTTATTTTCTATTACTTGCAAATTAAAATACAAAAATAAAAAGTCCCCCCACAGTCAGAGGCTGATTTTAATCAGTTTTCCCTAAAGTTTGGCAAGTACAAGAAATTTCTCCTCCTATTTATCTGATTTTATAAATCACAATACTTTTAAGAGGCTGGCATCAGATCAATGCTACATCTGCCTGTAGTAAAACTTAACTAGTTGAATTCTGAAGGTCATTTGGCTGTGCACTGTACTTATACTGTAAACTGCTTAGAGCTCGTTCACACCAAGTGCGGAGCAGATGCAGAGCAGAGCAGAGCAGTTTAAGAATGCATCAAGAACACATCCCATGTATTCCAGTGGTATTTTGGGCTCTAGTTCACACCACAGTGTTCAGTTCCAGTGCATGTGGAAAAACTACTGCATGCTCTTTTTTTCTGCTCTGGAACGCACCAAAACACATGTAAACGCATAACAAATGCATGCATACGCTCTGGAATGCACTGGACCACACTTGAAAGCCCATTTTAAGCTACAATTACTAATTTTAAGCTAAACACACCGGAAAGCATAAAAATGCATCAAAAACACATCATAACACGCTGCATATGTAGAAACCCTTCCAGATCTGTTCCGGATCTGGTGCAAACAAGCCATTAACGTATAACTACAAAACTTTTTTTAGAGGGGTTAGAACCACTTTCAGGTTTTTATTGCTCTCTGTGTCTCTATGCAGATTAATTATCTCGAATCGTTTGGATCACCATTGTCATCAGGACAGAAAGTGAGGGTAATTCTGGGTAAATTTTGAGTTGCCACCAGAACAGGAATAGAGAAATTATTTCAATGGGGAAAGTTTTGCCTATGAAAAATCTCTAAGAGGGGATATCACTTACATTGTTAAGCATTCTCTCTTGTCCTGTTGAGTCTACATGGCATAACAATTAAGGGAAATCTCCCTAAAGAGACACAGGTGGCAAAAAAGACAGTTGTTTTAACCCTTCCCTCCTTACCTAAAAAAGGTTTGGCTTTAGATATACTTTATAGCGCAATTTAGGAAGGATCTTCCCCTGCCACATAGAAAGCTAAAAGACAGCAGATACAAATATTATAGCTGCTAACGTTTAAAAAAAACACATGCTTGCCAGCCCATGAAGTCTCGCACCCAGTTCTTTGCAGGGTCTTCTAATTTTGTACGCCGCCATCTTTCATTTGGGAGTGAGCTATCATCAGGACTGCAGGGGGACTATCCTCATTAAATATGTGTATCCCGAGTGGCTGTGGGAAGGGGGGGGGGGGACGAGTGTGGAGCGGGGAAGGGGGACAATTAGAATGAAGCCATGTTTAAACTTTGATTTCAGGTCTGCTTAAACTTACAGTTTAAATCAGCTAAATGGTGGGACCCTTGTTCTCTGCGGGGAAGCAGAGATCTCTTTGCAGAGGTTCGACAGTTCACCTACTAATTCAGAGCCACAGCACACCAATCAGCAAGAAGCATAAGCTTGGCTGATTGCAGAGCTCTAGGTGTGATGGACCTCTGCAGCGAGATCACTGCTTCCCCGCAGAAAGAAAGGGCCCATGCTGCAACTGCTGAAAGGGGACAGGATTTTCTATTCAGGCTGTGGCTGTCTAAGAGAGTAAAAGAGCTAAAAGACATTGAACACCTTTTGTTTTAATGCACCTGGAATGTATTTAACCTATTAAAACTAAAGGTGCAAGTGAGCTTCGAAGCAAAGATTTCGTTTGGAACATTAAAGTATTACTAAAGGCTGGGCGTTTTTTAACTTAATACATTCTCTGCATTAAGGTAAAATAAGTCCAGTAACTTTTTGACTAGCTGTCCCCCCCACACTTACCTGTCAGCACCGCTTGTCACCACCGCTGGTCCCTCGAATTGATCCTCTGTCCTGAACTTACTGGTTGCAGGTGAGGATACTGAGGGCAGAGGGACAGGAGGGAGGGCAATGCGGGGATCCATTCGAAAACGAGGAACTGAAGAATTTTTAAAAACAACATCAAAGTTTTGCATATACGCAGTCTCCCATTGATAAATAAGTAAATAAAGGTTTAATATCACTTTAAACCTTGAATATACAGTATTTAGGTGTTTTTAATTTTCTCAGTTACTCTTATGTTGCTTTCATTACACTTTCTGTTCTGTGTTCTTCTTGTATCTCCCATATTTCTCAAATTTAGCTGGTTCCTTTGGTTGATTTGTTTGTCTGACTTGTTAGTCTGAAAATACTATTTTTTGTGCTCTTTTAATCCCGATTTTACCTTATTACTGTCTTTGAGGCTAAGCAAACACTTGGATCAAACCTTAGTCCACCCACCGACTTGCTGTCTAAGGGATAAGTAAATGTGCTTGGATTCATTTTGTGGACTGTTTGTTGAACTCAGTATAAAACTCGAAAAATTCAAACCCTACTGATGCCTGGGTGGGCAAATCTGGAAAATTAATTCCAGACATTTTTAAGACTATTAGGCACAGAATTGTCAACCCAAGTGCATAGGGAGCTGGGTACTACCCTGGGGTAGACGTACCAATTGAAAAAAAATATTTTTTGCATTGGTACGTTCCACCCAATAATAGGCTTAGTCATATACATAAATCGCTTCAACCAATCGCATTTCAGCAAAGCACAGGCTTAGTCATAGAGATATCTCTATGATTAAACCAGTGATTGGGTGAAAAATATCCGATGGGGTGGACAAGTTTCAATAAACTATCCCACTGTGCAGCAGCACCCCAATCTGAATTTTTAAAATAGAAAAAAAATTGCTTATTTAGGTTGTTTTTGGTGCAACACCTGATTTTCTTTTATCTAGCACTAACAGGCAAGCATTGACCAGAGGTAGTTGCAGCCAACCCAGATCCAAAAGCAATGAAATTGTATTCTAAAAATTTAAGTTTAAGCCTGCAACTTTGTACAGATTTGCCCAT